CGAGCGGGTCGTCGTAGCGGTAGCCCGTGACGACGTTCGCCGCCTGGGCCATGCCCGAGATGTTCCAGGACGAGTCGAAGGCCTTGTCGAGGCGGAGCGCCGTCCAGACGCGCTCGTAGTTCGCGTGCACGGGGAAGAAGATGGGGTCGCCGGCGGACGCGAGCGCGGACGCGAAGTTGGAGAACGACGGCGGCGCGCAGACCTCCTTGACGAAGAACTCGTAGAGGCGCTCGTTCTGCGCCTCCGTGAGGTTTTTGAACTCGTAGGCGCCGTCGCGCTCGTAGAGGAGCTCGTAGGTGAACGGCATGACGATCTCCGGCGACGGGATGTCGTACATGACGTCGGCGACGTGCTTCACGAAGAGCGAGTACCACTGCGCGCCGTCCATGGGCGCGTCGAGGTTCGCGCCCTGGCAGGAGCAGCGGCAGGCCGCGTCGCTGTTCGCGTCGCACGCGTCCGGGCAGTCCATCTTCGACGTGTAAAAGTTCATGAGCACGAAGCTCGCGAGGTCGCGCACGACGGCCGACGTCGCGGCGACGTAGGCGTCCGTGGCGTTGGCGCCGTCGCCGCGCGTCCGCTCCTCGTCGACGAACGCCTTCGCGTTCACCGCGCAGTCCCACGACCCGCCGAGCAGCGGGTGGAGCTCGAAGTGGTAGTTGATCTGCGCGGCGACCTCGAAGGGCTGGGCGCCCTGGTCCATGGCCCGGTTGTCCACGACGGACGCGAGCGCCGCGCAGCCGGGCAGCGGGAAGGCCCTCGAGGGGAGGCCGCAGAGCTCGAACGTCCGCGTGAGCCGCCGCTCCCGGTTGTTGTTGTAGGGCTCGTTGAGGATGCCGTAGGAGTTCGTCGTCGTGCCGAGCAGGCCCTGGGGGCTCGTCACGTTCGCCCAGCGGCCGTGGACGACGGGCGAGTCGCCGCCGCGGCCCACGGGGCCGAAGAAGTCCGCGGTCCAGACGTCGCTCGCGGACCAGTCGTCGAGCGACGCGTCGACGCTCCAGTCCCAGTAGTGGGCCGCCGTCGACGGCTCGACGCTCTGGAGCGCGCGCTCGAAGTAGCTCGTGAGCATCGCGTGCGACGGGAAGAACGACGGCCCGCCGTGCCACGGGTTCATCGCCGACGCGGACCCGAGGTGCCAGCGCGCGAACCAGCTCATGCCGTTGCGGAAGTCCTTGCCGTAGCGTCTCTGGCCCTCGACGGTCGGCGTCGCGTAGACCGCCGCGACCGCGCGCAAGAACCGCTCGCGGTCGTCGGCGGAGAGGCTCCGCACCTCGCGCCGCACGTATTTGCACAGGGCGTCGATCGACGCGCGGTTGCCCGACTGGTCCCGGGCCTCGACGACGTAGACCGTGCCCGCCGTCGCAAAGGTGTAGTTCGTCGCGCGGGCCGCGGTCCAGGACGCGAGCTCCTCGCCGGTGCGTTTCTCGGACACGCGCCAGGCGATCCGCCTGTTCTTGTTGCCGACGGCGAGTTCGTAGGCGCGGTGCGGCTCGACGAACGTCGCGTTTTCGAAGGGGTAGTGTTTCAGCGACGACGGCGCGTCGTACGTGCCGCTCATTTGTATGTCGCCGAGGTCGACGATCGTTTTGGGGTCGTCGGCTTTGAGCTGCTGGGGAGTCGCACCCGTGGAGATCGTTTTGGGGTCCTCGGCCTTGAGCTGCTGGGGAGTCGCACCCGTGGACGACTGCTGCAGGGCTGCGAGCGCCAGTGTCGCGGCTGCGATGATGCCGATGGTGAGTCGGCGCCTTCGTCGCACGGCGACATCGAGCACCTCGACCGCCATCGCAGCCCAATTTTTGCGAAGCCCGCGCCGCAGGCGCCAGGCCAGATCTTCTGGCCGGAGGGCGTAGCTTTTGTCCGAAGGTCGCGAGACAGCCATACGATGCGCTCCGCTCGATTTGTGTCCCACATCGCTGGTTCGAATCTACGGCCTCTCGCGCCGCGACACCGGGCTCGCCAGAGAGCCCCTACGGAGAGGATCGTGGGGAAAATACGCTTTTTCCCGGAACGACGTCGTAACGGCGACGCGGCGGACCGTTTCGCGACGAAGGCGCCCCCTCGGGGCCGGGGGGAGGTCTGCGGGCCCCGCGGAGCGATCGCAGCGTATGTACACGCTCGGGGGGGGTCGGGGAAGGGGTCCGCGCCGGCGGAGACGTCGCGCGCGCCCGCCTCCCCCGCGCGCGGCCGACCGAACGTCGGGGGGAACGCGTCCGGCGGCCGCCGCGCGCGTCCCAGGGGCCGGTGACGCGCTCGCAGCGCTTCCACGCGCTCGGGGGGGTCGGGGAAGGGGTCCGCGCCGGCGGAGACGTCGCGCGCGCCCGCCTCGCCCGCGCGCGGCCGACCGACATTCGAGGGGGGAACGCGTCCGGCGGCCGCCGCGCGACATCCAGGGCCCGGTGACGCGCTCGCAGCGTATGTACACGCTCGGGGGGCTCGGGGAAGGGGTGCGCGCCGGCGGAGACGTCGCGCGCGCCCGCCTCGCCCGCGCGCGGCCGACCGACACTCGGGCGGCGGGAGCGCGTCCGGCGGCCGCCGCACGCGTTCCAGGCCCCCGCGCAGCGCTCGCAGCGTATGTACACGCTCAGCGGGCTCGGGGAAGCGGTGCGCGCCCGCTGAGACGTCGCGCGCGCCCGCGGCGCCGCGCCGGCGGCGANGTCGCGCGCGC